CCTTCGATTAGATCATGGTTTTTGCTATAGCCATATTAAAGTATTTGGGAATGGATTAGCAGTTTGATCGATTTCTATCGTGCTCGCTTCGGCGTAAGAGTCTCTTGAACTAATTCCATAACTTCATGAATGCACATTTAGGTGAGGATGAGAAAGGGCGCATATCACAGCGGTCGAACGTGTGGAATATTTATTCATCAAAGGAAAGCTTTTTGAAATAAATTCTTTGGACGAGATACGGCAACTTCAGCAGCAGAATTCTAGAAGTTTCACGAACATTGCCATCCTAGCGTGAATTATCATTTAGTCATTTTCTTGCTGAGGTAACCGACCTCTCTGACATAATGATCAAAGCTCGCAATCAAGTGTTAAGGTTAATGTGATAGAGCACAGCAGCTGCGATGAACTCAGAACTATCCGCTAAAATGACAGTGATCACGAGGTCTGAAAATCTTCACCGGATCAGTTGAATAGAGAGATATTTTGCTAAAGACGTCTGGACAGAAGAATACGCCTTTTTGACGCTACGGATCCCTCATAATCGTGTATTATAAGGACTGGAAAGACAGTCAGTTCCGTCAATAGAATGGTCTTTGAGTGCAGAAGTGATGTCTTGACATTCTGCTTCCTGATATGCTGCTGATTACCCAGATGAGTGTTAAAAATATGATTGAATAACACAAACCTTTCGGCCAGATTTCCACGGGCCTTCTTCGGTGAAAGTCAGTTATTTGGCTGGTGCGTCAGCCGATAGATCATAATATTGCATTGTGTTATAATAAACTATTTTCTACTGCCTTCGCAGTAAAATACCCTACACGAATGAGAGATGTAATAGACAGCACTTTGGTCCGGTTCCTCACTTCAGGGTTGCTGATGAAATCAGTCCATTTCAACACCGGAGTCTGCTTCCAATAATTCACCTCGAACTTTTTGCCGCTTTAGAGTGCCATCATCGACATTATTCAGGTGTCAGAATAACAAACATGAAACGATACTCCTATCGCTTATAACAATTATAGCTTAACATTCAGATGGAGTTGGCAATCGTGCTAAGGATGTCCCACTGCATGCTCTCTGTCGAGTTAAGACATTTATCCACTTCTTGGTCTCAGATTTGGGGCCCTGTTCGTAGTTATTCACATACAGAATCTAAAGAACCATTATCCCATTTATCCTTTAGAAATGCAACGCTGCTTGGATTTGTGTGCATTGGTAAATCCATTAAAAGGTGAATATTTGCTTTAGCCTGCTCTTTTTAAAGTGCTCAAGTTAGGAACGCAATGAAAGTAACATGTCTGGGTATCATCATCGAAGAGGATTTTAACTGAGACTCACGATTCGCCAAGTTGCTAAAATTTGGCTGTATTTTGTCTTCTCTGAGCAGGCTGAAACGGTTTGACGACTGACTCAGAATGACTTGTATTTATGTATGTTCTGTAGTACATTCTGGAAGATTTAACGTAAGGCATGAAGCTGAGATGCAATATCTGTTCATGATTTTGACT